ACGTGTCACTATACAATAGTGTGAATTGTGCGTTAAAAAGTTAATAACTTATAAAATTAAATTTCCCTTCACATACATAAAAACACGTGATGTACTACCCATTGAATGTTAGCCTAGTTTTCATATATTTTATTAAGAGTGTTACTAAGCCCACCCCAATGTCTTATTTCTTCACCCACCTTTTTATAAAAAATTTAATGACATATTTATTTGTTGATGCACAAAACCGAAAGGTCTTGGAACAACGTAAATTCGACCGTAAATCATGCAAACGCCCAAGAACACAAAGATGTATCGTGGTTCACCCCAATATTTGGGCTACGTCCACACTGATGTTGATTGTATTTCTCTGTATGGATGTATGGATTACAAGTGTGAGGGGGAGTCCCCCAGAGAAAGAGACTAGTGTTGTCTCTGAGTTGTTTGAGACTTGTATGTTTTGGGGGTATCCCTTAGTTTGATTTGTGAGGGGGGAAGAGTCCCCTTTTATAGAATAAGGGGCTCCTCCTTTTACATAATTATGGGCTGGGTAATAAGGCCCAAATGTTAAGGCCCAATGTGTCAAAGTCTGAGGCCCAATATCTGTGGTACCAACATTACTCTTATTAAAAAGACTTTTAAGCCCCTATTTATAAATTTATTATAATGTTCTTGTAGTTATAATAAAAAAATAAAAAATAAATTGGCCCAGCGAACTTTTCCCTTCCCCCACCCCGTTTCTCTATCCCCCGTCTCCAACAACATTGAATCAAGGAAGTTGGAGATCTCCAACAACATTGATCAAACAAAAAAACAAAATTCAACTCATGGAATTAGGGATTCTGGGAATGAACTACGACTATGAATTGCAAAGGAAGGAGGAAGGGGGCGAGACTTACGTGTCGGTTAACCTGGAGATGACCAGATCCAACAGCACATGCACCCACATGACGGAGAGTACTAGGAGAAAGACATCCAACCTCCGACCCATTTCTGACATCTCTCTCCGATCATTGTTAGTCCCCTATTTCTCTATCTTTCCCTTGCTTCTTTCTCCTTGTCACCCTCCCGTTTTGCTATCCGATGGCGAGTACGAGAGGTCGATTGTTTCTTTTTAATATATTTTTTTAAATCAAAAAAGAATTTCGATATATTAAATGTTATTTTAGGAATAATGGTGGGTGTAGAAATAACATATTACTTTTTTTTTAATATTTCATAGTGGGTGAATTTATAATGTGGGTGTAAAAATAAGATAATGAGGTGGATTTAGTAGCACTCTTTATTAATTCTGACCAAATTTATAGCTGATATACTAAAATGCCCTCACAACAAAATAAAGTGCAATTTTATTCAAATGCAAAAGTTGGGATTAATTATACTTAACACCCCTTGAAGTTTATCGTTTTTTCACAAAAACCTCCTCAAGTTTGAAACATTACACTAACACTCCTTCACCTTTTGATTCACTTTCACATCCACCCCTCAAGGACCCCTTAAGGACGAAATTAGCATTGTAGTTAATTATTTAAAAATAAAAATAAATCAATAAATTAAATAAATTAAAAAAAATATTACAATGAAACATTAAAAAAAATAAAAGAAACCCTAGATGCATAGCTTTTAATTTATATCATTGAATCCGGACTAGGATCACCTTCGGATCCTAGTCTGTGGAGCCACCTGACCACAACATTCCAGTCTTTCATTTTCATCTTGCCTTGTTTTGTGTGAGAATTTTTCATTATTCATGATCACATGATGAAAAATGGAAGGATGGGGTGTTGTGGTTATGTGGCTCCGCAGGCTATATCCGAAGGTTATCCTAGTCCATTGAATCTCTTCCTCTCTGCCAATTTATTAGGCAGCACCCTAAATGCATATATATCATATATCATCAGCATTAAAGCTTTGAAAACAAGGGGCAATGAGCATCCTAAGCTAGAGAAACATTTTTCCCTGTTGATCTCATACTGTTCACATACTCCACACAAAGACAAATGGGGCATATATGCAAGGTCATTTTTACTGAAGGAGTCAATTAATAACATGCATAGCCATTGCTTCTTTTGCTATAAGGCTTTTCTGGCGATCATATCGAAGGAGCTTATCCAGAAAATCAATAGCCTCTGGAGAAACCAGATGCTGATTTCACACATTGATAAATCTTATAAGAGGATTTCTTTTGTTTTTACTAGTGTTCAAATGTAATTTTTTAAATTTGATTTATTTATCTATTAATTTTTACTTCTAAATAATTAACTACAAGGGTAATTTCGTCCTTAAGGGGTCCTTGAGGGGTGGATGTGAAAGTGAATCAAAAGGTGAAAGGGTGTTGGTAATATTTCAAACCTGAAGAGGTTTTATGAAAAACCGATAAACCTCAAGGGGTGTTAGGGCTGGGTTCGGTTCAATCGGTTCAATTTTTTCCATGAAAATTGTTTTTTTTTTAAAATCTAGATATTGGTATGTTATTCAGCTGCCCTAAAATCATTCCCAAAAACAGAATAACGTTTAGACCTTAAACTTGATAAATAGGGTGATAAACTATATTACTGAAACCTAGCTACTCGAACAAATAATATCAAATCAAGCTGTTTTCATGACTACCTGGAACAACAGGCTCTTATTCTGTGTATGCAAGAAAAACCATCATCATGGCATGACGTCCATCCAAGCAGAGAACCCTCATCAACCTGTGATTTATAAATTCTCTCCGAGAAGCTTATGGTTTTCCTTGCAGCATCCGTGGGTGGGTGGGTGGGTTATATATTGCATAGGAGATCAATGAGATGGGAAATGAATATATGCCTATTATCATCCTAATGATTGTTATTTGCTGCAGGTTTGCTATACATAGAGAAATACATATCCAATGCAAAATAATATTTGAAATGTGGCATGCATATAGTACAATTTACTCTTGTTTTCATGTTTCATCTTGATAATTTTTTTTTTTAAATCTGGATATGGGTAAAGAAACAATATTTTGGGCTTAAAGTTTGGGTTTAAAGTTTGGCAACATATTTGGCTTAGCATATTTGGGCTTACAAATTGGGTTTAGAAAATAATACCCAAAACAGATAATTAAATTTAAAAAATATATATTAATTTAATTAATTCGGTTTGGTTTCTAGACCACTGAAACCGAAACCAAACCAAAAGAATTCAGTTCAGTTCGATTTTTTCAATTTGGTTCGGTTTTCGGTTTTTTGAACCCCACCCCTAGGTGTTAGTTCTTCCCTTTTCAACATTTTTTTTCTTGATTCTTTTTCTTCAACATTATTTAAGCATGAGTAATGCGCAAAAAGAAAGCCATTTTAAAGAAAGTCCTGGGCATATACTTTCCACATGTTGTACTAAGCTCAAGATTGTTTCCATTATAGTGGTGAACGCCAACCTTGGCGAGCATATATATTATATAGTACTCGATCTTAGATTTCTAGAAAGGTGGGCAATTGTTGGAAACGATAACCAGCTTCCCATCGGAGTTGCGGAGGGAATCGATGACATCTTGTAGCCGAGACTGTGTACTTGCCACACTTCATTACGTGAGCAAGCCGGGTGTTCATGCTCTCGTGGGTCTTCTTTGTCTTCTTCGGGGCCACAATTTTCGATAATGGAAGGTTCTTCATTGCTCGGAGGAACTCTCTGCGGCCGAAGGTGAATTGGTTTGAAGAAGTCTTCATCCCTTTTGAAATTGTTTTTTCTTCAATCATTTCAATCACTAAAAATCTCAAACCTTTTACAACTAGTTTCCAACAATCAATTCAAATAAGTAAATTCAAAAGGATTCAAATCAAGCTTGTGAGAAAGGAGACGGGAAAAGAAGACGGCAACAAAGGGAAGGGTAATTATTATTATAACAGTTTAGAAAACTTGGCTAAAATTTATTTTGTGCCTTTAAAAATGGCCAATTTTCCAAAGTTTCCGCCTTATTTAATTTTTTTAGCATAAAATTATTTTATAAAAACTATTTTATTTTATAATTTTATTTTTTATTCACGTGGTCTTCCAGGTCAAAAAAATATGAACCTCCTTTTGCCACATCATCACTTAACGTCCAATTTAACAGATTAATTAATAGAGATCTAACATTATAACGAATTCATAAATTGGTATTCATAAATTAAGGTACGACAGTCCAATGTTTAAAATATGAAGTATGAGATTGTGCTGCGACTTATAATTGAGGTAGATTTGTATAATTTGCTCTATTCTATAAAAAGGCACGAAGTGAACAATTTTTTTTTTTTTTTTGAACAAGCGATATTATTTTTACCAAGGAGAAGGGTAGGTTTAGCCTCACAACGAATTAGCAATAATACGGTTCAAATTCGCCTTTGACGAGAATCAAATATAAAAACTCCCGCTTAAAAATAAAAAAAAAATATCACTAGATTGTAATACGTAGAACAAAACCTCAGCATAGCCACAAGGATCCGTTGCTCCTAGGTTTAAGCCCCAGTTTGGGGTTGAGGTGATTTAAAAAAAAGCTCCTATGAAAAAAAGCTGGGAGTGTTTTTGGTGTTTGGTAAACTTAAAAAAAATGGCTTATTTTGGAAGCTGCTGTGAGAATAAGCTGAAATCAAAAGAAAAAGCTGAAGCTGCAATTTGTAGCTTTGGAAAACTGGCTTTTTTTCAAAGCACACAGAATTACAATGCTCCTTTAATGAAAAGATCCACTATCAGACTGCTTTTTTTTTCAAAAGCACTTTTACAAAAAAGTTTACCAAACACTCTGCTGATTTATTTCACAGCCGCTTATTCTCACAGCACAGCCGCTTATTCTCACAGCAGCTTTTTTTCAAAGCACAGCAATACCAAACCAGCCCTAAGTCAAGTGGAGTTGGGAAGCCAACACTATTTGGATCCTTCACACTTGCAAATAAGGGTGAGTTCGGTTCCATTTGATTTGGTTTTTTGCCGAAACCAGAAATCAAACTGAAATTACTGTTCGGTTTAGTTCGATTTTTTTTTTTTTTCAATCCGATTTCGGTCTAGTTTGGTTTTTTCCATGATTTTTTTTTTTTTTTTGATAAAAGGTAAACTTTCATTACTAGAAAGTTACGTACATAACAAAAGGCCACAACTAACCACAAACAAAAAAAGGGCCAGCACAACAACAACCAAACCAAGGGTTGAGCCCGAAAAAGAAAGAAAAAAACCTAAAAACCTGAAAACCCTAGCCGCCGTCAAGCAAGCTCCGGCGACCATGAACCAGCAACCAACAAACACCAGAGGTGAAGACCAACCAAGCCCCAACAACAAAAAGAGAAGCAGACGTCGACGTCCTCCATCGAACTCCACACAAAACTCATTCGGCCCCACCAATAAAACCTTGATGCAGTTGTATTATATGTGAAGATCCGGTAGACAATAAAACGATTAAATGTAAAAACATGAAACAAATAGCCAGAATCTTCAATTCTATATGACATACAAATATACTAAATATAAAGGAAACAAATAACACAATAAATAGAACCGAAACTGCATCCTACTTACAAGCTGCCGCAGGTTTCTCTTCGAGGCCACCAAGTCAGCCAAACAATAGTGAGCAAATACAGCACACCAAGAAATTGGGCAGTGAGTTCTGCCGATTTGACACGAAAACTGAGGGGAGGTGGGATTGGAGGTTGGGGAAGTGGTTGAGCTTGATTTCTGAGGTGGGATTTCTGGGTTTTGGTTGTGTTTGGTTGGAGAGAGAGAGAGAGAGAGAAGAGGATGATGAAAGATGGGAATTGGGAACGAAGCGGCTAGGATTAAAGTCTTAAAGAAAAAGTTGGGATTGGGATGAAAGATGGGAATTGATAACCTATTAAACAATTATTTATGATCCAGGTTTTTTAAATATGCTACTCATAGTGGTATTAATAAGAAAATACTTACTGTCAAAATGGTTTAAGTGAAAGATACTCAACCAGGAATGGGTTCGTCGACCCCCTTAGTTATAATTTTTTTGTGTTTTTTATAATTAAAATATTTTTCAGTTCGGTTTTAGTTTTTCGGTTTGACAGTTTCGATTCTTTTTGTTTTTTCGGTTCGGTTTATTTGGTCTTGGTCCTGTTTTTAGTCTAGTGTTTTTTTTCTTTCTGTTTTTAGTCTAGATTTTTCGAACCCACCTCTACTCGTAAAGGTTAGAGACAGAGTAACCCATATTCATCTCCCTTCATCCCACACACGTCATTACGATTTTGGTTTCCCTTTCCCTGTTGGACAAGGATTGTCTGCCCTCCTTTTTTCATGTCCTTCCATGCCCTCTTGTTTTGTGTGGTCACAGTTAAGCCACGTTAATATTTTATATTATTTTTTATAAAGATAATAAGACAAAAATGAATAGTAATATAAAATGTTAACGTGGCTTAACCATGATCACACAAACAGAAAAGCATGGAAAGGCATGAAAAAAGGGAGGGCAGACAATCCTTGTCCTTCCCTGTTTGCGTCCTACACACTTGCAGGCCGCAAAAGTAGCTATCTTCACCTCCTTTTCATCCGACATCTTTAGGAACGATTTTGTTTTTCCCTTAACTCTGTTTGGGTCCTACCCACTCGCAATAATAAGACCATTTTTGTTTTGTTAAATAAGAGTAATAATAAGGCCCACTTCACCGCCCTTTCCAACACACTTGCCGGCAAAAGTAAAGCTATCTTGACCTCCTTTTCATCCCACATCGAACGATTTTGTTTTTCCCTTACTCTGTTTTGGGTCCTACCCCCTTGCAATAGTAAGATGCGGAATAAATCTCATAAACGATGAATGAGCGTCATGACATATTAAATATGACATACACGCAATGTCATATATAGTTTATGGAAACACGTAACAAACATCATTGAATTAAATAAAGCGCGTCATCTATTTCAATTTGAGACACGGAATATGTGTTATAAACAAAGGAATAAGCATCATGGTATACTAAACATGGTATATGCACATAAAGTGTGTCATAAATCGTTCAATACATGTCCTGAAATATGTTTAATGACATATGTAATGTATTTTTTAATTTGAAAACAACATAATCCATCTAGAAAGCAAGATATTTACCTCAAATAAACTAGTATTGATTCCATTATCAAAGTATTACAAAAGACAATCTCACAATCAACACATTTAATAAAATGTGCAGAGCTATCCAACTAAAATAAAATTATAAATTCACTTAATTTAAAATTTCACACACTAGCTAGTCTAATGTTTTACCTATTGGGATGAAGTCATCAATATACTCAACCCACTATATTCTTAATGCATCAATTTCCCGTTGAGTACATGTAGCTTTTTCTCTGAACTGCAACAAATCCCAAAGGAAACGTGTCACGACAAAAACTAATTTCAGTAATACATAATTCAATATTAATTGACTTGTTTTATTAACACCCCATATTTTGTTGACTACACCCCACATACTTAATACACCCTACATCTATTTTTTAACTAAAAATTTATCTTAATACACCCCACTTATTTTCCAATACTACCCTTACACCCCACACCCCTCTACATAAACCTCACACCCTACTTAAACCCTACAATCAAACTCTTCCTTAATTAAATTATTCAAATAGTTTTTTATGCTTTGTTTTTCTACAAAGAACGTGCTAGAGTTTTGGGGGAGAAGATAGTCATAGATTTCTCAAATATGTGGATCACATTATGAGAAGAAGAATATGCCCATATTGTCTTTCTTGCTTATTTTATGTTTGAATATTTCTGGGCAACTGTAGGATCAAAAAAGAAATTTTAATGTTACGATTCATGCCTAGTATCTAAAGCTCCACCCAAAAGTTCCCTTTGCATATCAATTAGAGATTTTAAATGATTTTCATGCAAAGGAAAATGTAAGTCAGGAGATGTATTTATGAAGAAATATATAAGCACATGCATTTTTTTTTTAAATTCTAATAATACAAAAGTTGGAGATGACATTTTAGTTTCAAACTTATGGATGATATAGATGTTGGAATCTATGTCGAAGTTACAAATTATACAAATGTTGTAGTCAATACCCAAGTGACAGAGCTACGGACGACGTCGAAGCCTCCAAAACATTGATTTCATGTTTCATTCGTCAAAATTAACCTCTTTTTTCATTAACTATGTTGTGCTTTTAGTAAGGGTTTTGTTTTATAATGGAGGTGAGAGTATATTCAAGAGCTTGAAAGAAAACAATCTGGCCTTGTTTGGCAGCTCGGACTGTACTGATTATTTCTGTCGGATAGGATAAATTGTCATCGGATAGTACTGACTAAATTAGTCGGGCGTTTGGTGCAGTATCGGACTAATGACCGTATTATTTATACTGTGTTTGGTATTATACCGGATAGAAGGAATCAAACTTAAAATAAAATTAAAAAAAAAAAACTGAAATCATCTCTCTTGTTCCAGATCTCTCCGCCGTACCCCCCCCCCCAAACTCCCTCCCTTTCTATCCCTTCTTCTTCTTCCCCGTCTGCTCCCCTGAACTAAACCCCACCACAAAGGCAGCAACAAGAAACCCAGCAAAACCCACCTTTCAGATTCTCATTGTTTTTTTCCCAATCATTCTCTTTTTTTTAGCTACAAATCAACCCAGCAAAAAAAACACACCACAAACCAAGAAAATTCACACAAGGGACTTTGTTTTCTATTAGTCCTAAAAAACAATTGGAAGGAAATTCACGGAGGACACCTTTTTTTTCAACAAACCAAGAACACTCATCGGAGAGAAAAATGGGGCTGACTGTGATTTTGGGCATTAGGTTGGGGAAAAACATTGACAAAATTCGATTTGGAGGAGGGGAAGAGCTGAGTGACGCCTCCAGTTGGCGAATTCCTCAGCTTCCATCCGCCCCTTTCTGTATATCCCTGTGGAATATGTTGTTTCGCTACTGGTCTCCTTTTGTCTCTCTTTCACTCTCTTCTTTGTTCCTCTGTGTGCTTTCCGTCGGACGAGACGAGAAATTAGTCGGCGAATGACTGCAGAGGAGTGGCGCCCGGGGTGGAGAACTCGTCGAGGAACTGCTCGAAGGCCCACTTTGAGAAGTCGTTAACGGCAGCTTCGTGAAGTTGGAGAGGACAGCGCCCTGACTAATTATCCCGAGCTTTTGGGCTGTTTTAATAGTACGGTGTCAACCGTATAAAATTTGATGGGCCGGATAATTAAGCGGGTGCTTATTTAGTACGAGAGTGCACCAAACAACTGCTCCCGTATTATTTATCTTATCCGATGCTTTATACGGCATGCCACACGAGGCCTCTTAGAATACATATTGACAAATAGTTGGGGTGTATTCAGAAAATAATTTTTGTTTTTTAATACATATATGGCCTAAATAGTAATTGCATATTAGGGTATATAAGTTATTTAGTAATAAAATATTATGTAGGGTTTATTCAACACTTAGTGGGGTGCTAATAAAAAAAACCTATTAATTTTCATGGTTTATATTTGTCAATGACGACTGCAGAAGCAGGTATCCCTTATCAGCCTCCCCAATTGCCGGTAGTGCATGTCCAAATTCTTGAACTCGCCGAAATATAACCCCGACCATTTTATACACATTTGTTAATTGAAAATAATTAGTGATTCGACAATATTCTGAACACCTAGTTTTCAACAATGTTAGGAACATAAACAATGTTATATAAATGGAGGTGGATTGTCTGCATTTCCATGTCCATACTTTTTCCATCCCCTCTTGTTTTGTGTAGTTACGGTTAAGCCACGTCAACATTTTATATTTATATTACTTTTTGTTTTATTATTTTTGTAAAAAAATCAATATAAAATATTAACGTGGCTTAATTGTGACCACACAAACAAGAGGAATGAGAAAAGTATGAAAATGGGAGGGCATATAATCCACCTCCAGCAATATCAGTAATGACCAATAAAAAATCTCAAAGTCGAAGAAACTTATAGTTGAGTGATATATAGAGTTAAATACAATCAAATAGGCTACTCTTTAAGCCAGAATGAAGTTGGAACAAAGAAGGATGCTCAGTCAAAAGTATAGTTATTTAAGAAGAATGCTTAATCCACAATTAAATGGAAGAAATAAGCTATGATATAAATAAATTACCATGGTCGTAGTTATTTGCTTGGTACCCAATCTGTCTTCAAACTTCAAGATCCTTTCAAATTCGATCAGCGTAACATGTTCTCTACCCACTGTCCAAACATTAACTCTTTTGTAAATTAATTTCTACCAAACAGTCGTTAACTTTCTCTCTTCCTCTCTCCCTCTTTCCAGTTCACACTATACATGCCCGTCTCATGGCTACCCTCTCTATCTCTTCACAGTCACACAAAACAACCCAAAATTGAAAGTCACAATCTAACCAAGTTAACATATCACATTAAGATAAACAAAATTACCATTTACAATCTGACAAAATTACCATGACGCACAAATCAAACCAAGTTAAAAATTTCGAAGAAATATATACAATAAAATATGAAAGAAATAGAACAACTTACAAAAGTGGAGATGCCAGCAAATGCAAAATTCCAAGCACTACAGCAGAACCTAACTAATAATAATCTAATAATCGGACCATAAAAATGCATATATGTTGATACATAGATATATACATGCACAAGTAAATATACAAAGATTAGGGTCTACAAAAGTTAAAGCACATACCTTTAAAAGGCGAAAACCGTTATAAGAGAAAACGGAAGCTTACACCGAAATTAATTTTAGGGAAATGATAAACACACACCTTTTATAGCTTCCTACCCACTCCTGGCTAATCATATTCATTGTTTTCATTTGATTTATTCAATCCGATGATCTGAAACAAAAAGAAAATATGAAAAAAGTTATAAAAGATGTGTGAAAATCAGCTTCCTAATTTGATGAACACCTGGTGAGAGGGAGAGTAGTCATGGCAAATTCAGTCGTTTTCAGAACTGCACACTTCCCCACACATTGAAAAGTC